GGGGGGGGGGGGGGTGGGGGGTTGCGGGTATATTCCAGGACATTCTGGAGCACACAGGGCTGGATGCGTTCCAAGAACTGCAGACGGATCACTGTTAGGACTGCAGACAGAGGATGTGGAGAGGTTGGGACCCACTGAAGGATTTTCAAACAGTGGAATATCATAATTGCGTTACGGACTAGTCACTGGGTGTATGGTTTCGAATAAAGGAGAGCAAGAGTGGAGGCAAACACGTGATTTAGGAGACTCTGGCCGAGGTCCGGGTGGAAGATGGGTAGCGGCCATGGAGGCAGTGAGAAGCGGACTCGTTAGGGAAGTATGGAAGGGGTTTACCCACAGAGGAGGTGAGGAGAGAGAAGAGTCAAGGAGAGGCGGCCATTTTTGGCTTCTGATGGCATGAAAGAGATACCGGCGCGGTTCACTGAGATAGGGTTGGCTTTGTGCGCTTCTGATCCAGGAGAAATCACTAACCTTTAGCGCCCTGATGGGGAGGCTGGCACAGTAGTGGTGTATTGATGAACAAGGTCGTGTTGCAGCCGGACTGGAATGGCCCAGAGCACACTGCTGAAGCAGAGTAGTGTGGCCAGGAGAAGGGTAAGGGTCCATTCCCCCAGAGGTAGTATTTTCACCATGTAAGAGGTTAAGCTTCAGAGTTGGATAAAGCTGGGTGGAGTGCAAGCGTCCTGAGGTGGGTCTTTGGGGGAAATTGCTAAAGCGTTGTGAGCCTCAGTTTCTTCATTTACAAAATGGCAATATCAGTGGTGTCTAATTTCCTGGAGTGTCCTGGCATTTCAACCAGTTCAAGTATGTAAAGCACACGGCACAGTGTATGACACATACCAGGTGCTCAGTACGTGGCTGCAGCTGTACGTGGCCCGCCTGGTCAATTGACCCTGGCCCAGAGACTCGCTGCCAGCCCGTGGGCTCAGAAACTTGATCAAGGGCCCTTCCTTTGGGAGCTGACTCACAGGAAGCAGGCTTAACAGCTAAAACGTATATTTGAGTGAGTGCTATGGCTGGCATGGGGGCCAGAATGCTCAGATCCACAAGACGAGGTCATTCTCTCCCTGTAGGCAAGCCAAATTATAATCAGGAGGTTGTGAGCAAAAAG